CCCCCACATTAAATAATCCAATTAATTCCAACCACATGCACAAGTCGCACGGCTCAAATGAATCTGGGCCAAATGGAGAACCCATCCATTCACTAGAGACACTTGACCTATTTTTTATTAATTAAATCCACAAAAAATCAATTCAAGTTATTAAATTGATTTCTATTTCTCTCCTCTTCAAAATTTATGTTCGTTTATTTTGCTGAAACTAAAATTCCGTCTGAATTAATTTTCAAAAATAAAAGTCAGTTTGAGCAATTTCCGTTCAAGAAGAATGATGTCGACATTTTGGTTCGACCGACAAAATTAGTATAATGCAATACCAACTTTGGAAAAAGCATTATATCTTGTGAACCATGTCTCGCTTCATCTTTGTTTCTTTACTTCTACTTCTCTTTTTTTATTGTACGAGTAATTAATTTAACAATAAATGTTAGGTAAGTCACTAAATGCGGCAGCATCATACTGAAATCATAAAATAGTGTCATATGCTAACATTTTACGGCCAACTGCCTCAATGTTCAATTTTCAGCAGGCGTCATGAATTAATAATATGATATCCATTGGCGTTGGCCAACTTTTATTTGGTCCATTGATGACAATGTATGGGAAAAAAGAAACAATGGTTGAGACCCATTTTTTGCAAAAAATGCATTTTGAAATAATGTTATGATGGAGAATATGTGTTTAAAAAATAAGAAAAAATTTTGAATTTGTTTATAATAATATTTTATTAGAAAAAGTGTAGTTGAAATGGTGTCAAATCACTGTTGAAAAATGAGGCTCAAACTTTTAGACTAAACATACCGGCATCATCCATATTGTTGGGAAAAAATTTCCACCCAACACACAGAAAAATAAAACGAGAAAATGCGTCGAAAGAGAAAACATAATTAAACGTGGTTTGACAAATCATCAACGGTTACATGATAAAATAGTTTAGAGATTTGCTTGGTGTACATAATTTTTTATACATCAAAATGTCCCACAAGAGTGGGGTCCGTTCAAATATTTTATTCAAATGAGCCCCACCCCACGTGAGTGTATGAATAACTTAATGTACAAAAAATTATATACAAATAGTGTTATCCAATAGTTTAATAGTTGAGGAAACCTCACAACACGTATGCATACTTGCGAGGAATAAAACTAAATGATCAGGGTTAAACATAGGGCCAAATCACTTGGCACCCTCCTATTAGGGCAGCCACCATCTAATATGGGGGTGCCACTGGATTTGGCCATGACTTTAAGCCTGGTCAAATAGCGTAATCGTCTTGTCAAGGGGTGAGGATACTTAAAATTTTTAGAAATAGGAGAATGGCTCAACGAGTTCGCATCCACGTGGCATCTGGAACATCACGAAGGGATGTCTGGACCACATGATCTAAAGTGATGTGAACTAAGGGCTCAAATTGATCCAAACCAAATGGTGAACCTACTCCCTAGAGGCACTTGAAATTCATTATAGAGCAGTGCTTAGTGTATAGTACTGCTGTACACAAAGTCTCACATGTGAGGGGGCCCCACAATTAATGTGGGGACCCCTCATGTGAGGGGACTGTAAGTGTACAGTCCTAAGGACTGTACACACTGACATTTCCTTCATTATAAAGGGCCCATATTCCATTAAATCCTACACAAAATCAATTCAAGTTATAAAATTGATTTATAATTTTCTCCTCTCTTTAAAAATTTTGTTCTTTTTACTTTGCAGAAATTAAAATTTCGTCCAAACAATTTTAGTTGGAGTTTATTCCTTTTGAGAAAATACTATCAGTATTTTTATTTGACCGACAAGGTTTGTATAATACAATACACACTTTGAAAGAAATGTTATATCTTAGAAGCCACGCGTTTGATAATCTTATTGAAGCCAGTGCAAAAGACAAAATCTATCTTAAAAAAATTTGCTTCGGCATAATTTGCTTCATCTTCGTTTCTCTACCTTTACTTTTTCTTTATTTTGATTGTACAAGTCATTATTTGACAAAGTGTTAAGCAAGATGCACTAAATGCAGCAGCACCGGACTAAACTAATAATAAATTGTGTTATACGCTAACATTTAGCCCCTATTTGAGCCTATTATCTAAAAATTATTTTTATTCAAATTTATTTTTAATTAGACATTCTTTCAACAAAATAATTTTACACGTGAACTCAAATTCTTTTCTTATTTTTTAATCACACATTCAAAAATCACTATTGTAAAATTTATCTCTCAAAAAATAAGGCTCAAACGGAACCTAATAAATTGTGCCATATGCTAAATGCAGCGGCATCGTACTGAAATTGTCATATGCTAACATTTAATACTAACTGCCCCAATGTTAATTTTATCAGGCATCGAATTAATGATATGACTTTTATTGGTTTTGGCCAATCTTTATTTTGTTAATTGGTGACAAGGTGTGGGAAATGAAGAGACGTTTAAATTAATTTTACACTAAAAATATGCCTGCACCATCCACATTGTTGGGGAAAAAAATCCACCCAACACGCAGTGAAAATAAAAACAAGAAAATGAATCGAAAGAGAAAAAGCTATAATTAAACGTGATTTGACAAATCCGCAACAATTACATTAGAAAAGTAATTTATTAATGAAGAAAATATCACAACATGTACGTATTGTCGAGAGCAGCCTTAAAATTTCAGGAATGGAGCCGCGGATTGATGAATGGGGGCCACGTGCATCTAGACCAATCTAAAGTTATGTGATCTAGGGGCTAGGAGTGATTCGAACCAAGGAATAAGCTTTTTGTACAGCACCAAAAAGTGCTGTAAATGTACAGCACCCTCACAGCTCGGTGAGACCTGCACCAATAAAAAAATGGCTTGAGCCTCCTCATGTGAAGGTGCTGTGTGCCATGCTGTGCACATAGCTTGGTCCTTCGAACGAAATGGCAAACCTATTCCCCATAGACACTTGGAATTCAATATAAAAGATCTCATATTCCATTTCCATTAAATCCTACACAAAATCAATTCAAGTTATAAAATCGATTTATAATTCTTTCATCTCTTTAAAAATTTTGTTTGTTTTATTTTGCTGAAATTAAAATTTCATCCACATCAATTTTCAGAAATAAAAGCTCATCCGAACAATTTTAGTTCAATTTATTCTATTTGAGAAAATATTGCCAACATTTTGGTTTAACTGATAAGGTTAGTATAATAAAGTACAAACTTTACAAAAGATATTGTATTTTGGCAAACATATGCTTAATAATGTTGTTCACACTAGTGCAAGTAACGAAATCTATCGTAAAAAGATTTACTTCAACATAACTCACTTCATCATTTTTCTTTACTTTACTTTTTCTTTCTTTCTATTGTAAAAGTTATTAATTTGACAACAAATGTTAGCTCAGATGCACTAAATGCTGCAGCATCGTACATCTCAGCACTAAATGCTGTAGCATCGTACTGAATTAGTAATAAATTGTGTCATACGCAAACATTTAGCATCCGTCCATTATCCAAAAATTTATTTTTCTCTAAATTCATTTTTCAACTATAAATTCTTTCAAAAAAATAATTTTGTACATAAATTCAATTTTTTTCTATTTTTTAATCATATATTCTCAAAAAATAAAATTAAAAAAAAACAACATTACAAAATTTATTTCCCAATAAAAATTTGGCTCAAACGAAACCTTAGCCCTTGTTTATTTTCCATTCTTTCTTCATTAAAATGAGAAATTTGACCGTTATCCATCACATCAAGTTATCAAATTTGAATTTCTATTTCTTGTGTGGGATCCGTAGCGACTATATTTTTCATTCTCATTCTTCCAAAAATGAGAAATAAACGGGATTTTAATAAATTTTGTCTTATGCTAACTGCAACTGCATCATACTGAACTAATAATAAATTGTGCAAGGTAAGATACAACAGCATCGTACTATTCTTGTGGTTTATTGCATCAATTGTACAGGGTAGTTGAGAGTAATTTTGTCAATGTATTTTCAACAGCACAATAATGGAAAATTGAAGTCTGACAAAGGAACTCAACTTGTGTGTGTGTGTGTATTCATTCTTCTACTTTAGAATAATAAGATTGGGGGCGCCGGGGGAGGGGGGGGGGGGGGGGGGGGGGGGGGGGGGGGATGCCATTACAATGTGATACAAACGGGGGCTTAGAATTAAGGATAATTCTAAGTGTACATAATTTGATTTACTAAATGGTTTACCTACTCTCACAAGCACATGGACCTTACGTGAATAAAATAATCTCAACATATGGTCCCTACACCCCTATTGTGAGTGTATGTAAAACTTTAGGAGCCCGTTTGAACCACATTATAATGAGAAATAGAGTCGTTATGGGCCCCACACCAGCGATAGAAATTCAAAAATAGTGGCTTGATGTGATGGATAACGGTCATATTTTTCATTTTAATGAGGTAAAAATGAGGCTCAAACAAGGGCCAGGTAAAAAAAATTAGGTACATCTAGCATGATTCTAGAATTAATAATAGACCAACTGCCTCAATGTTCAACTTTTTCAGGCATCGAATTAATAATATGATTTTTACTGGTGTTAGCTAATCTTTATTTGGTTAACTGATGACAAGGTATGGGAAAGAAACTTAAATTAATTTTACACTAAACATATCAGCACCATCGATATAGTTGGGAAAAATCCCAATCATCGCACAACGGAAATAAAACGAGAAAATGAGTTGAAAGAGAAAAACATAATTAAACGTGGTTCAACTCGTCAATAGTCAAATGAGAAAAATACTTTATTAACTTGAAAAACCTCGCAATATAATGTTTTTTCCACTCGCATAAGTTCGTCCTAAGAAAACTAGAACACACAATAATTATAATTTTGGATGCACGTAATTCTTGGTACGAATTCATGTCATATTGGTGCCAAGCACAATTATTCTGAGTGTACTGCCATTAATCTATAGGAAAGAGTCTTGAAATCTTATGGTAAATTTCTTTTCCCCATTGCATTTGGAGTTCTTTTCCTAATTGCAAAATGATTCTCTTTTTCATTACAATTCTTCTAGGACTTATCATCTTGGTCCCTTTCCTCAGTGAAAAAATAGATCTTTACCTTATTGCAACATTTCATTTTTACTGGCAAACTAAAATTCTTTTTCCCTTTCACAATATGACTCTTTTATTTACCAATTTTGGGTAAAAAAAAACCTAACACGTAAGTTTGTTACATTTTACTCTACACAGATGCACTAAATTATGAGGTATTTGTAGAATCAATGAGTCTTTAGCTTCGATTGTTTGATAATTAAAATTTTTCTAGTGTCAAAGTTTGTCTAATAAAATGTAGGGATACAAGACTTATTTCATTGAATCTATTATTATTGTCATTATGTTGCCACATAGACCGATACTAAACATTTGTGATGCTACATATCTAAATTTGAATGAATTGTAGGCCTTCGTAGTTTTGCAGACGTTGAAATTCGCAGTGTTGAAATTTATAGTTTCTATTCACCCATAAGCAGGGACGGATCTAGGATTAGATCCAAGACCGGACTACAAAATTTCAAATCGGGCTACTACGCGGAAAAAAAAATTTACACATAAAAAAACTGATTTTTTACCCAAAAAAAATGCCTTAAAAAAAAAGCTATTGGGCTTGAGGAGAGGGGGGCTACAGCCCAGCCTAGCCCCCCTTTAAATCCGTCTTTGCTCATAGGTTAAAAATCCTTAAGAAAAACCTTCGTAAAATTAATAAAACTTGAGAAAAATCAATGAAATTAGACCGTCTTTATTGATGTTAAAAGTTGGTCTTGCTTGATGCAAAAAATAAATAAAAATAAATAAAAAAGGATCCCCTGGAGAAGACAAGACAAGCCATAGACAATATGTCCAACTCCAACTCAAATTTACAATTTTTGGTTATACATGATTCACTTATCAAGCACAATTATACTATTTAAAGTCAGTGGTACATATTGACTCAACTAATGTTTGACATCACATGATGACAGCATTGACAGGCCCATGTTTGATTTCATTATTTCAAAATATATTCTTTCCTTTTTTTTCTTTTTTTTAATTACACATTAATTAATAAAATAATATTATATGTAAACTTAAAACTCTTCACATTTTTTTAACTACACAGTCTTCAAAAAATTACTATTTTAAAAAAACATTTTTTCTCAAAAATTTATTATAATGGAGCCCAATGAACTGATGGCATCAATTGGTGATTTTCAAAAATTTTAAACACTAATATTATCTTAGACATTCTCCAAATTTCTTGTGTTTCTTACATTCAAAATTTTTAAAAATACCATAAAAAATAATTGCACATGAGAACTAGTCTATTAAAAAAATACTTTTATGTCTAAAAAGAAAATTATTAGAAAAAATAGATCCTTATTATTTGCTACATAGACCAAACATTAAATAAATGCGATAGTAAATATAAAAGTTAACTTTTCTTTTCCTATATAAAGATTGAGAAATTAGTTTATCAGAAGCATGTGAGTGTTTTTTCTGTAGCTGTGCTAAGGATAGGATGGAAGCATTGGATTTGAAATCCTATAAAAGGGAAGATGAAGTTGAGAAGAAGGAAATATCAAAAAATGAAGGGGTTATGCGATCAGAGGATTCATTGAGATGTTGCTCATGCTTCAGCTTTTTGTTTCCTTCAGGTATATACAATTTATTTTATTTTATTTTATTTTCCAATTCCATCAGTCTATATGTATAGTGTATTCCTTCCTTCCAAGTTAATGTAGGGACTCAAGGAATCATTCAGAAAGGTTAGCATAATTCTCTTACGACTAAATTGCTCAACCCGGTTGACCTCCAATCCATTTTGCACACATTTCCCACAATTTACTATGCTGAAAGTTTAATTTGCTTTGTTTTCCAATTCCCATCTTAAATTATTATTATTATTATTATTATTATTATTATTATTATTATTATTATTATTATTATTATTAGTTTGGGTATATTGAGCAGGGAGCCATTTTGATCTATTTCGGGTTTTTCGGAAGAAATATGAAGAGGATTTTGAAAAGTCGCAACTAGCAAAGGAACCAGGGAAAAGGAACTTGAACAATCCCCTGGACGTCCAGGGGATTGTTAGGCATCCTCCTATTGGGGGGGTGCCTGCACGTCGTGTTCGAGAGGCGCCAAACAATCCCCTGACCGGGATTGCTCAATCAGCACTGCGCAAGGAACCAAGTATTCTTTATTTTTTACTTCTTTCTCCCTCTCAATATCTATATGATTAGTTAAAGAAAACAATTTTTAGGTTTTGTATTAACATATTTGATAGTTGGTATTATATATTAAAATTAAATGGTTCTGCTACATATCAACATGTTATGTTTGTGCAGGTGGTATAACTGTGATTAAAGACCACCAGATATTAGATCAACTCGATGTTAGAGTCGGTGCAGGTAGTAGTCTCTAATTCTTTATCGTTTCTCATGTAGTAATCTTTTCATAGCATTTATTATTCAGCGTTAACAACATTTCTATAAAAAAAAAAATTCTCAACAAGTAAATAAACTTTATATTTTAACTCATCCAGCACTTTGTTAGCTAGGGATAAATCGTTTCCATTAATTTTTACTTTGAGCCATGCTTTGCCAATACAAATTGTTCTCTCGTTGCTTGAGTGGTACATTTATATTAGTGTTTTTGTATCCTCCCTTCTTTCCACTACGTGCCTTCTACAACAATTCCTTTGTAGTCAGAATTTTTCAAGATGCTACCACAACAGCATCTATTTGGTCTTTTTTTCGTAATTGTCTAATAAAAAACTGTCAAGTATATTTTGTATAAATTCTGGCTGCACTTTTCTATACACATAGCAGAACTATGCCCTTCTACTTGATTTTAAAACCCAAATATCTGTCAATTGGAATGCGTTTATACAACTTTCCACCATGACAAATTCTTGATGAAATTTTAGAAAAATACTTCAACAACCTTTTCATAAAAACAATTTAAGTTTTGCGTTGCCAACATAGAGGGTGACATGCACGGCTCTTATAATTTTTATCATGATCAATATTCTTTGTTGGGCTGTGATGCCATTTGATCAGTCCAACTAATAGACAGTGATGAAATAAGGCCCAATATGGAATCAATAGATGGTCCATTTATAATAAACCTAAAAGGCCCACTTAAACCGAGCCCAATATCCAGCCCCTTTATCCCTAGTCGTTCTTGGACCGTTGGATTAACCCACTCAATTTAACGGTGGATGGATTTACTATATATTCGACCCTTATTCTCTGTTTGGGATTCGGATGGTCATTTTCTTGTTCTCTTTTTCTCTGTGTATTCTGGAACCTTCAATGGCTTTCGTCTTTGTGACCTTTTCTTCTTGTCTGTGTGAGAACTTCTGTTGATTCTCTTGGTTATAATCATGTCATTGTGTTAGTCTCCTTTGTGTGAGTAAACTGTTGGAAGTGGTCTGTCCATTTTCGGTTCCAGTGAAGCGACTTGGTGTTTGGGGTTGTGAGGGCTCGTGTGTTGAGTTCGGTGCCTCTGTGATGGTTGAAAAGGGCGTATGGTCTGAGCCTAAATATAGATCTAAACCTTGATCCAGTAGCTTAGGTTTTCTGTAAATCTGCTGCGTATATATTCTGGTTGTATAGTTTGAATAGATTTTGGATTAATATTCTTTATGATAATGATGTCTCAAAAATACTTCAAGAGTTATGTCAATGAATGAATTTTCGACAGCTTATTCTGTACTCAACATGTTTGTGCAGCTAAGCGGTCATCAAGTTCCACGACACCTGACTTCAAGAAACCTGTTAAGCCAGTAATTGTTCGAAAGTGATCTCTTTCGATATGTTTTTTATCTTTCAAAAGCTACATCTAAGGCAATTACTATATCACATTGTGTTGAAATTATATTCCCAAGTTCCAACATTTTATATTTATTTATCTGAAGTTTATAGATATTAGGTATTCACACTTTTTCCAAATAAAATAGTGTTTGACCTTTAACTTAAAAAGTGACAGTATGTCAATTTTTAGTTCAAGATGCCGATTAACAAGAATTTGCAATGCAACAAAATATTAACATGAAATGAGCAAGACAATTGCAAAAGAGAACCAATATAATCACACAAATGTAACTTCCAAATGATTTTAGCAAAGAAAACAAGAGGTTATGTGTGATTTAAATGCACTTCACATCATATCATCAGGAAAACACACTGAAAATCTTACAAGATAAAGCAATGATCCACTGGATAGAGTCCACTAAAACGGGGGACAAAGTTGGATTAGAGTCACGACCGAACAAGCAAGGAAAGAATTGGTAAAACAGATTGATTTTCATTGCTCTATGTATTTCCTAGCCATTAAAAAAGTTCTCCAAGGGAAATACTTAGCAATCATAGCCCATTTGTTGCCAAAACCCCTATGGAATACCATTTGCCTTCAATTTCATGATGTAATACACAGTTTTACCATTGATTTCAACAATGTTTAAAATAATCAATGGCCTCGATTTTGCCACATCATGGAATGTCAAACTAATTGTACACAATGGGTATACAACTAATTTAATTCAGCAACCTTTCCTCTTCTTTTTCTTCAGTGGAAGCTCTTTCGAGCCAGTTGACTGTACCAATCAATCTTCAACTCTTACTTCAAAACACCCCCACCCCCACCCCCACCCAAAACCTAATATGATAAAATTCACCCACATGCAGCCACCTTCAATCTACGTGAATGTTGATCAGTGATTGCAAAGTGGAAGTCCTGAATAATTGAGTTGGAAGGAAATAATTCACAATCGAATCAAATACATGTTTTTCATTTTTTTTCTCCCTGAAATTTCATATTGTACTGCATTACAAAATTCGATAATTTGCAAAAACTTAAACGAATGTTGAAACAATGGAAGACAATCATTCCAATACCATAAAACTCGGGAGCATTTGACTTTGATTTGACCATACTTACCATTAATTCTTAGCTCTGATGGAAGCGCCGATATCCCTAGCCAGAAGATCACTTCACAGCAACATTAACTCCGGTCAAGTTTTTGCCATCGCCGTTTTTGACGTTCGTAATCATTTAGTTTGCTAGATTCCATCCACCACCTGACACGACCCGTATCTAATTACCCTAATGGATCCGACACGTGTCGTACACCAATGATAGATACTAGCTAAGTGCCGGACCCACCACCAAGACAAGATTGACCTGCTTTAATTGTGACAAATGTATAAAATAATTAAATTTTTTATCTAATAATAGTTTAATAAATACTTATTTCTGGAAAATAAGTTTTTATCCACCCATACAAGACAAACTACTAGATGTGATGGTCGATAAACTTTTTCAGTCTTTTCGTTACCACTTGAAATTAGGTCTGCACAAAAAAAATGGCAAAACCGCAAATCAAACCGAAATAGTTGGTTTAGGTCCACATGGACCCGTGGTTATATTTCCCTCAAATCGAACCAAACCGTTTCAAAGTGGTTCGGTTTAAGTTTTGATTTTCAAAAACCGCACAAAATTGAATTGAACCATTTTAAAATTTTTTAATTAAAACATTAATTTCATTAACTTACAAATTTTATAGTTTTCGCTTTTCAGAAAAAATACCAATTTAGAAATACAAATTACAACTAGTCTCTTGAAATTATCATAAAAAGTAAATTAGTTTCATCATTATTGACTTATGATTTAACTAGTTCAAAACACGTGTCCTCACCTAATATTTAAACTAAACTAAAATTATTTCAAAATCTTATGAAATGAAAAAAAATAAAAATAATATATAAATATATATATTCAACAATACAAATCATAATTTAACAAAACTACGTCAACAAAACACGTCTAAAGTTTCAAAAACCCTAACATAAACTCTCATTTCTCTAACATTTGACGCTTATTTGCCTGTTAGTCTACTAATTTCTACCTGAATTGCCTCTTTCTAGGCTCGGCTCGGCCCTTAATGCCACGAGCTCGGCTCGTGCTCGTGGCGAACCCAGCTCGGGCTCGGCTCGTTGAAATTGGGCGAGCTCGGCTCGTGGGCTCACCTAAATTTTTTTTTTTATATATATAGAAAATAAAAAATTGAGTTTTAAAAATAAAAAGTGTTAAAAAAGACAAATAATTTAACGAAAACAAATTTTTATTTTTTTTATTTATATTATATTGTAATTTGTAATATTTTTTATAAGGTATAACCGTATAAAATATTTATATAATGAAAACGAATTATTTTTTGAAATACATTTACAAAAAATATTTTTTTGATTTCTTTTTAAAGTTAATAAAGAATAGAGTTTTAAAAATAAAAAGTGTTAAAAAATACAAATAATTTAACGAGAACAAGTTTTTATTTTTTTTATTTACATTATATTGTAATTTGTAATACTTTTTATAAAGTATAAAATATTTATATAATGAAAATGAGTTATTTTTTGAAATATATTTACAAAAAATATATTTTTTTGATTTCTTTTTAAAGTTAATAAAATATAAACCCTCCTCCTTTATCCGGGCTTGGACCGGCTACATCAATTTTAAGTAGACGGAGTTAAAAATTGTACACGAACAACTTGTTGTAACGTGTACAATTTTTTAAAGAAAATTAAATTTAACGATTAAAAAATAAATAAAAAATTTGATTAATATAATTAAATCAAATATCACTTACCTGACGACATGCAATTTCAGCGTATTTATCTTGTAGTCGAAAATGAGCGTCTTGCCAATCCTTCACACATATTAACGCTTTCAAAACATCTTCTTTCAGTCGGCTCCTGACATCAGTCAAAACCCTTTTACCTGCACTAAAAGCAGATTCCGAAGCAACAGTGCTAACCGGAGGTGTCAATAGATCTTTCGCAATTGCAAAAATAATTGGCCAACGTCTTTCATACTTTCTCCAGAATTCAATTACTTCTTCTGAAATCTTTTTAATTGTTCTGTCTGTTGGCATACTATGATTGCAATAATCAATTAATTCGGCAGGCATCGCATTTTGAGTTTCGGCTGATGTTTGATGAGATACAAATGTAGACGACATGGCACTAGATGTACACATTGCAGTTGCATCATATCTAAATGTATTAATGCCCTGAAATAAATTCATTATTTTCGCAGCATCTTCTTCAGTTTCAGCAGAAGGAGTAGGTGCAGTAGAGGGTACCCGACTAACATTTGCACCCATTCTTTCCGCATATAAATCATACATTCCACATAATGTTTGCTCTAAATTCTTATAGGTGATAGGTGTATCAAGTATTAAAACTTTATTGATTTGATCAATTACGTATTTAGTTCCCGAAATATTATATCGGAAGTCCATTGCGCATGCTAAAGGAAATAACATAGGCAGTTCTTCCCAATATTTTCTAAACTTTAATTCTATAGCAATTAAAATTTCACTAAAAGTAGGATCATTTTTATATTTATGGAATGTTCCTACAATTATATAAAGGCGTTCAAGCACCATACAACTTGTGGGATAATAAACGCCAGATAAAAGCTTTGTAGTCTCATAAAAAGATGTCAAAAATCGTTTAACTTTCAAAGCTAAAATCCAATCGGATTCATTTAACATACCATCATCATCACTTCTAACATGTCTATTATTATAAAAGTCAGTTATTAAATTTTCGAAACCTTCACATGATTTTAATAGCAAGTATGTAGAGTTCCATCTATGACCTACGTCGCTAACAAATGTTTTAGCAGTCATCACCCATAGTTCGGCACAAAAATCTTCAAATACTTGTTTTCTACTAGGAGAGATCGTAATATAAACTAATGCATTCCTAATCCTTTGAAGTTCATCCTTTATATGTTTTAAATCATCTTACACAATTAAATTCAAGATATGACACACACAACGAATATGAAACAAATACCCACCAAAATCAGGTTGAAGTGTCCTACACAATTCATCAACGACTACCTTATTAACGCTAGCATTATCAAAAGTAAAAGCTCGAATTTTACTCTCATAATGATATTCTCTAACAATACTGATAATAGCATTATATATATTATTAGCATTGTGAGGAAATTCAATAATTCTAAAAGCAATAATTTTCTTATGCATGCACCAAAGTGGGTCTATATAGTGTGTGGTTGCAGTTATATATGCTCTTTTATTAACCCCTTCCCATATATCAAAAGTTAAGGATATAACACCCCCATATTGTTGCAAATCCATAATTAATTGTTGTTTTGAATTATTGAAATAATTTATTATATCGGCACGAAGAGTGTTTCGACTTATCCCAACATATCTCGGTTGTAGATATTCTTTCACGAATAAAATGAAGTGTTGGTTGTCTGCAATAGCCAGAAGCAACTCAGTGGCGACAACAAATTTCACCATTCCAGTTCGAGTCTTGTCCTTCGAATACACCTACGTGGATAGGGGTGAAGTTGTAGAACCGACGCCTGGACTGCCAAATTGTAATTGTGTTTGACCAGCTGGAAGAAGTCCATGTCTGGCTGCACATGATTTGTAGTGGCGGTTGAGATGAGTGGTACCAATTCCTTTTTGTCATGTCAATCTTTGTTGGCAGTATTTACATACTGCTTTAGATTCTATAAGGTCATCAACGACTTTTCCCGTTGAAATCAATTTAAAGTGATCCCAACATTTTGCTTGTTTTTTGGTCTTTCGCTTTCCCCTCACATCTGGAATATTTAATTGCTGATCTTCATCTTCATGTTCCGCTTCGGGAACGTTAATATTATCCAAATCAATTGGAATGTGGCTTCCCTGACCGTGAATGTGAACATCTTCAGGTATCGGTATGTCATTTAGATCGGCAAATTCATTTGAAAATTGACTTTGCGGCGTACTAGGTGATTCTCCATGATGTGGCAATGGCTCAACATCCTGTATCGATCAAGCTCTCAACAAATGAACGTTGATCCATTTTTGTGATTGTTTATGATGAAATCTTGAC